TAATTCTGCCCACATAAATGTGTTGTAGAAATTTCAGAACTACAACAAACAATGAATATTCCTGGCCAGAAGATTGGAAGAGGGATCTCGTGCCAAAGATATGCGCTTTTACAAAAGAAAATTTGAAAGTCTGCAAAATTTTTTGAAAAAAAAAACGGGTAGTTTTCCCCAATATGGCGGGTATTTTTCCCCAAAATACAACGTCTACTACCCCATTACCCTCACCTCTCACACAGAACAAAAAGAGGTTTAGATTACTGACTTTTTTTCAGAAAAAAAAAACAAAATAACGAGGATACTGATGATACCTTAACTGGTGGTGGATCCATTCGTACCTCCTTTAGATATGAATGTAGCTCTCCGGTACTGAACGACATGCTCATGAATGCCATATTCGCATCATTGAATGTGATGGAATGCCTACCAGCTTAAACAAATGGAGCCAGGTAAATTATCTCAGAAAATCTGCGGATATCACCCCATTTTTATCTATCATTCACAAAACAGTACAAACACTACGGTGAATTAGAATAAATAGCAATGCGCATCAGACTAGCCGGCGTTATCATACGTTTTGTGCAATTCAGCCCATCGGACGATTGCCTATTAATGATTTTCACTGCTTTGTACTTTAGTATATGCAAAAATAGTTCAAACACTGGAAAACAGTTAAAAATTTCACGCACCAGCCTCTAAATTTCCAGCTTCCTAGGTTCCTCTAAATTTTCAGCTTCCTAGCTTTTGTGGTTCCCGAGTTGAAAGTTACGAATAAATTGCAGCGGACACACACACACATACACAGACAACCTCGTAACAATATGCGTTTTGTATTGCTGTTACACAGCACAAAACGCATAAAAATGAAGTAGACAATAAGGAGAAGGTTCGAAGAAGACCGAAAAACAGGAACGAGGGAAGGGAAAATTGCAAAAATAGCTTCAAACAATACGGCAAACTGGAAGACAAAGGAGGCAGAGAGCAGCAGAAGGCTCGAAGAAGGGCGAGGAAACGAAGGCGAGGGAGAAAAGGGACGAGGGAATGAGGGGAGGGGGATCCATAAGAATAAGGAGGGAGATGGGGTTAGAAGAGCACTAAGAGCGAAGCGATATTCTTTTTACTTAACTTTGAACAACGGCATTCTCATGATATGTTTCTCTAACTTTGCAGTAGCCAATTTTTCCAGCTATTTTTACCAGTTTGCCGGTGATTTTGTCGTTATTTGCGTCCTTGAGGAGACCATCAGCTCGAGTTTTTCTGACGAAAGCCATCAGGTTAAGTTTTTTTTTGAAGGTTTTAGCTGTTTCAGGAAGTTATTGGTGCATGTTGGGCAT